AACATCGGTATTGGTACGAACAAATCTCCATAAGGACATTGAGCTAAATCGGTTTCGTTCATTGTCTGATTAGTTGATACACATTGTTTTTGATAGCAGACTTGATTTTCACCACACGAAGTTCCTAAAATAAAACGAAAGATGTCTATATGAAATAAGAAGGTCAATCAAACCATCGAAGGCACCATCTTGCCAATACATAAAATTGTCTTTCGGTTCTTTGAAACATCGCAATTGATTGCAGAGATTTGGTTCATATAATGAGTGATTTTTACTAGCGTATGTGACTGAAATAAATGGAATAGCCTTTAATCCATACTGTAATTGACATTGTTGATGAACATTCACGATTTGACCTAGATTTGTCGAGATAATTTCTCGTAATTTGTCTAATTTTGTGTCATTTCTTGTGCTAATTATAGAATTCTTCCAGCATGTTGTACTCGTGTTATCGGCAAAACGATTCAATTGAGCAATGGAACATTCGGAAAAATTCGGTAATTGACGACGATCGGCTGAGTTCATGTTTTTCGGCGACATGATATATCGAAATTGTGGATCATTACATGTATTTTCGATTTCATCATGATCCAAACCTAAATTATGTCCCAGTTCATGTGTTACTGTGATAATCACCGAAAACGAATTCAGATCGTCTTGAACAATCGAATATTTATATAAAGGTAAACACGCCCCTAACACATAAGCAGAACCAGCACCATCAATGAGATCCGCACGAGTAAAAGTCATGATATGATCAGCTTCATTTGTGAAGAATCGCTTATCAAATTTATCAGTTGTGTAAGCTTTGTGCAATGATTTCAAAAGATCCATACTAATATTTGGTCGCATATGAATGTCATTCGGTGCTTTTCGATAGGCATTCGTAAGTGAGGAAATGTTTTTGAATGATTCCCATGGAAGACGATGTTTGTCAGTAGCGAAGATAATCTTATTCAAACGAATATGAACATCAAGTGTTTCGTAAATTAAGGATTGCCGATAAAGTTGTTCAACACTCATGAATATATGAATGTAATACAATTTCAGAATTTCAATTGTTTCAAGTTCTGTTTTGTTTAATAAAGCTCGGAGATCGTTGGTGATTAAACTATCGATAACCGCGATAATTTCCAAATAGATATGACGGGTTTTTTCAGGTATCGGTCGTGGTGTTGTCGTTTCCATTGTCATGTTGATGAACAGTTCTGTATCGTTCTCAGCAGACGGTATAGTTATGTTTTCAATTGCGTCAGGCATTGTTATCGCTGGCAAGGTAGATGCATCCGTAAACTCAGATGCTGGCAGGCGAGTTTGTTCGGTTTCCGATTCAGTCGTTATTGTTACTTCAGTTTCGTTGGTATCATCAACTTCACGACGTCTACGAGAATTATTCCATTCAATTGTAATGTATGCATGGTTAATAATGGAATTTTTGGTGCGAATTATATAGGGATCTGTTAAGGATCGTTTACTTCTGGTTTGTTCTGGTGCTATCGATGGAGCAATGTCATAGATAGAACCGCTTGATGTTTGAATCATAGCATACAGAAGATTGGGATTGGAAGTAGCACTATCAGTTACACTGGCGAAACCGATAGCGATTCCGTCGGACTCTATATGAAACGTTTGAAGTGAAGATGGATGAGATGAATTTAAGATCATCGGATTTTGATCATCATCAAGAATAATAACTGATGGAGCATGTCGATTTTCACTCGATTTGGCTGTTTGAATAAATCGAAACTGATTACTAATACCATCAATACTTAATGTTAGATCGAAGAATGGTAGTGGTGCTGGATTCGTTGAAACCATCAAATTCAAATTGATCAATATCAGCAGAAATCGTATCAAGGCCATGATATTCGTTTTCTAACAATAGAATAGAAATATATGTGGATTTATATACAATAATAATACTTACATAAGACAACACTCTTTTCCTTCAATTACCATTTTTCTTTCCTATATGTATCATCAGGTGTTGACATTTTTGACGTTTGCTGAAGATCGATATCTCATGCATTAGACTTTGTCATCAGCATATATATTTTTATCCTTATCACATGCAAGTATATATATATATATATATCAAGTCCAATGATGCAACCTGATTAACTAATGTCAAAGACATTTTTCTTTTTCTGCTATTTTATTATATAAAAAAACAATATATTTCAACATATAACTGCATTTACACGTTGTCCTTTTCTCCTGCTATTCATATATATATACACGGATTCTTTATTAACTACGACGGTATATGTGATCACTTGCATAAATATTCACATCTTTCGTCAAACATTGAACAATCACAATTCCGATTATCTAATCAATCAAACAAACAATAGCATAACATTCTTTTACTCGATCGCTTCCTGTTTGACTTACCCATGTTAAACTCATAAATAATGACAAACCACCATTCATTCCCAACATAAACTTCGCTTCCATATACTAAAATGTACAACAACAACAACAAATCATCATCTTCCTCTTCCACCACTTCGTTACTTACGCTTCCATCAACCACTGTCGAGTTTCTCATCTCTTCAATATATCCATTCACGTGTGCTACAATAACCACAACATATCTCACATTACTCAACAAATCACAGTCACTTTTCATACATGAGAACACCATTCCAACCACACCACTCACTATTCCACCCGTCATCACCACCAAAAGACACACTGCAAACTACAAACAAATGCGTCAGTCAATCACCCGAAACATTCTCTCCACTTACTGCTCGTAGTAACAACAATCGAAGAGTGAAGAAAGCCACGAGACCCAGAATACTCATGAAAATACCTGCAGATCCGATGAGAACAAGAACAATACCGAAAACAAGTTCACGATGATAGACTTCATCGAAGAATGGCAGATTAACTGTTTCGACATGTCGACTAGTGAGATGCCATGCACCGAGTACAATGAATGCAACAGATTCGATGACGAGAAGAAAAACGAAGAGAAGGGAAATGAGGATGATACACCAATGTAATGGTCGTTGTTGAACACTTGTTTTTGGTGTGTATTGGTAGGAATATGGGTAATCAGTAGGATGTTGTTGTTGATGTAGTGAATGATCGTGATTGTGATAGAGCATGGATGGTTATTTGAAGAAGAAGAAGAGCGATTTGAATGGTGAAGATCGAAAGAGAAGAGAAGAGAAGAGAAAAGGAGAGAAGTACCTGCTAGAGAAATGAATAATGACGATGATGTAAAAGGGAGAGGAAGAGAAGCCGCCAGGGAAAATAGTTTCTTCTTTTGTGTTTATTGTATATTTCTGTCAATCTAGGAAGTCAGATAAAGAAGTCTGGTCGAATAGCTTTTTATTGCTAGCTGAAATAAAACACAAGTAGAAAATGTAAGAACAAAGACACGGATATATTCTATTTTAAGTAAATTAATGCGTCATTTTGAGAAAGAGATCATGCATGATAATCGTGTAGGTATTGAATGTATAGGCAGACATCGTAAATGAAGTGTAAACAACAAACATGTAAGTATACTTCTCTCAATGCCCATTGAAAAGCTGTCCGAAGCGTGCTTTCTATGATAACATGCATTCCTTCAATTTTTGTAAAAAGAAATTTTTTTTACAATAAAGAAATTAAAAATAACATCATTGAGTTGTCAATGTAGCAGAGGAAAAGTAGCGAAAGAAGAAACACTCAAGGATGCACATCGCATCTTGAATGGCATAAAATAAATTAACTCATCGAGCTCTTTGCAAATTAAAAAGATTGAGTTGAATTGTTTGCGTTTTGAACTTTTGCTTTCATTAATTGAAGATCAGACATGAATGTTGCACTTCACAATTCCGATGAACGACATTTTTCTGCATATTGCTTTGTGTATCGTAGTGGAAACGTTCGATTTATTGCTTTTCAAAACAAAGATTATAACCAGAGCAAAGGCACTGATACATTATCTCACAGATCTTCAAATAATCTTTCAGACTTCGATTTATCTAACTAAACTTCCTTGTTGAATAACTCTCGACATAATTTACATACAAAATTAATTCCACAGTTCAGACTCGATTAAATAATGTCTATGCTATCTCAACTCAAATTATCGATCTATATACAATGGAGGTCAAGAGGACTCAAAACTAATATTTAAACTCGCAATAACAATATTAAAATATTCCATTGACAAAAAAATTCTCCGACCTTGCTTCCTTCATGTTTATAAGCTGTCTTTGATTATTCTCCGAGTAAAGACGCGACAAATCTTTGCTTTGTCGAGCATTTGTTAACTACAGTCGTCAAAACAGTGTCTAGTATTACGTGAGATATACGGTCAGCCTGCTGTGACTATGTATGATTTGTCACGAACAGTTAATAAAACGTCTGTAGCATTAGTTGAACAAATAAGTCATGAAAAAGAAAACGAAGAATTACTCTTTTTTATATTTGCCTATTGGTTCCGTTGTTGATTTTCTCTGATGTGTCACAAATAAAACACATCGTTGATGTTTCATTATATCAAATTCACAGCATCGATAGATTATGAACTTTTGTTTTATCTGAATCTACTATATGCCTCCGATCCTTGAGGATTTCTTTCCAGGAAATCGTTCTTCCAAAAGCACCATATGTCTTCAATGGGAAAGGAAATTAATCAATTCAAATAATCTCTTATATCCTTAGCAGTAAATGAGATACTACAAAAGTTCACATCCTTCCTAGAGATTCGATAGACTATTATTAAGAAGGTGAGTAGAGTTGCAATAAAAACTGTTCAATACAAATACGATAAAAAAAAAGAAAACAAGACAGTGGTAATCACAAAGATTTGCACAACTCTAATGTCAAGAGAATTCTTACAATAAAATGATCACAAGAAGGAACAAACAGTCTAAAATAGAAATATTTTCAATAAAAAAATGAGAAGATCATCACACAAGAGCACAGAGAGAAAGATATGAGTTTATATATACATAAACTGCAAGTCTGATTGCAATTTCCATGAGAAACATATTCTATTTGTCGTGATAAATAGTGTAAACTATGACAAAAATAAACCATATTACTGAAGATGGATATTGCTTTGAAACACTGTTATGATAGAGAAGACTTGTATCGGGATTATAGACTAAAGGTAAGATAGACATAAGGTTTACTTGAGATGAAGAAGTTTTACTTACGAATTAATAAACGCCCGTCACTGTCTAGAATGATCAAAGAGATTTGAAATATGAATGAGAGGAAAAGTACTTTCTGAACTTACCAAATCGAAATTCTTTTTCTGGTGACGAATATTTGCCTTCGCCACCAAGTGACCAAGCTTGCACTCGTAATTTATAATTTCGATTGACATATAAATTATCAATAATTACTTTATACCGTGATCCATCGACATAGTAAATCGACGCATTACGAATCGTTTGATAGTGTTCCCAAACTTTGACCTATAGAAAAGCAATTTGTCCTTTCGACTATGAAAAGTCAATCTCAATAAAGTTCTTCGTACCATATAACCTTCCAAAGGTTCTTCATCTGACGAAGTAAATATTCCTCGCCATTCGACTTCAAGTTTATACATATAAACATTACCAAACAATCGTACACGCTGGTCTTTCGCACGTCGAGGTTGTCGAATGGAGATGTATTGTGGCGGCAATAATGGTGGTAAACGAAATGTTCGATGGGAATATATACTACTTTCGGGACTATCACCAAATTGAGTATAGACAGAGACACGGACGTTATACTCGACATTCGATTCAAGACCGATAATAGTCGCACGAGAACGCTGACCAGGAAAACGACGTTCCCAATAATTCTCAAGTTCATCAAGACCAACACGCCAATAGCGTACGTTGTAACCTGCGAGAAAAGAAGAAGTCAAATAATTTAGGTAAAGAAAAGTTCTAATGTTATGTATTCAAATATCATTACCGAGTAAACGACCTCGTAGGACTTTGTAATCATTCTCATCGACCATATCCCAAGTGACAGTCATTGCTGTACTATTGTATGGATTGCATTTGACATTGAGTACTTGACGTGACGGACGATCTTCAGCAGATCGAATCGTTACATTAGGAGATATGGGACCTTCGCCGAGAGCATTCACAGCAGAAATACGAACATTGTATGGAAAATAGTACAATTTATCAGACCTATTTAGAGAAAAAGGCAGAGAAAGAAGGTTCAGAGAATGGATTGTAGAGCAATTTCTCTCACAGATGAGTAATAAAAAAGTTTCGAAGTGGATCAAGCACTGTATACACTTGTTGTCGATTTTCTCCTTGCTTTTGTGCGTAAATTCGATATGTCAGATTAGGTCCATTCCAAAAATCCATTGGCAATGGCTCCCAAGTAACGCGTAAATCACCAATTTTACCTCCACCACCACCCAATCCAACAGGTGCCAAACCAGGAATATCCGGCTGAGTGACACACGGTGATGAAATTTCTGATAGTTCACCCGAACCATAGATATTCGTGCCAAAGATACGAAAACGATAGTCTGTGAATGCTGACAAGCCAGTCAATGTCATTGACATATACTTGGTTGCAGTTAACGGTATACTAAAATTTCCATGAAATACCCACCAAGATCGACGATTCGACAAAGATTCGATGGTATAGTGCAAAATCGGTGCACCATGTTCATTGCCGACAACCCAAGATAGTGTTACTTGTCGTTGAAATGGTTGACTACAACGAACTCCAGCTATGGGGCCAGGTGGTCCGAAGACATTCAATTGATAGGACGAACTTTGTTCATCTACAGTTGTTTGTGCTACACATGTGTAACGACCAGCATTACTATATTGAGCTTGGACAACACGTAAATCACCAGGACGATCAGGATTATCTTGTCGAAAGCGTTTATTATCAATAGTTAAAATTTCATTATTAAAACGCCAATAATACGTTAAATCCATTTGGTTCATTGAGCGAGCCTCGCATGGGATGATGATTGTTTGATTAAGTATCACATCTCGTCCACCTGGCGTCGAGATGATCGTTGTACCCTCAGGCATTACATAAACATACGTACTCTGTTGTGCAACACCATATATGTTTGTTGCCATACAGGTATAATTACCTAAAATACACACAGACATATGACAGAACAAGAAAAGAAGTAAACTTATATAATCATATTCAAAATTGAGTTTTGCTCATAAAAGTCGATTGACGAAACAAAGGATTATAAAAACTTATCTGTCTCGATGCGAACATCTTACCGGCATCCATTAATTGAACATTTGTAATCACTAAATTTCCATTTGGAAACACTTGAGCATTACTTCCAAGATTCAATGGCATAGTATCTTTATACCATTGTACTTGTGGTTGAGGTGCACCTTCTGGATGACAAATAATAGTTACGAGACCACCAACATTCGATCGTAATGTTGACAACATGGTATGTTTACCGAATGTCGGCGCCAATGTGATAACACGAACTTCGGCTGCACTGAAACGTTGAATATTATTTTGAGTATTTGTTGCTGCACATTGATAAATTCCGTTATCGAAGGGTTGAACATTTGAGATGATTAAAATATTATTACTTATTGTTAGTCGCTGTTGTTGAACGAAGGTTAGTCGTTCCCAGAAGATTTCAGTTCCATTGATAAACCATGAATAACGTAAGAGTTCCATTTCATTTGTATACGCTTCGCAATAGAATTGTAAAACTGTTCCCACGTCAAGAATTTGATCTTCGAGTGGCACGACAAATACCGGATCGATTTGGATTTGTAAAGAAACAGATTGAAAAATAACAGCTCGTGTATTCGAAACTTCACAACGATATAGACCCATATCATCACGCTGTAAGTTCGGAATAATCAGTTCGCGATTGAAATTATTCAAGATTATTTTCGATTGTAATGGAAAAATATTTCCAGCTTCATCTTCGCGAAACCAACGATAAGTCGGAACGGGGTAGCCTTCAGCAATACATTCGATCGTGGCATTCTCACCCAATCGAGGTAGATGTGTGGTGGGAAAAACATGAGGAAAGTTTGGAAAGATACGTGGACTACGCTCTTGACCGAATGTGGAACGAACATCGAGTTCTGTACCTTCACTCGTTTGAGATGGTAAATAACGGAGACGTGTATTTTCTGCTTGGACGGCACAGTAATATTTGCCGGAGTCACCATCAGTAACACGTGAAAAATATAAATTTCCATTCCGAGAAATAAACCGTTCGGCAGATTGTTGAACTTTTTGATTAATTGAACCTTTGAACCAAGCATAATTCAACTAAAATCAAATAAATGATTCTTCTTTTCGAACTGATTCGACATTACATACATCTCCTGTATTGGAATTCTTGTATAAACAATCAATCACAGCATCACGATGACCATCGGCAATAACTTTTGGTCGTTCACGTTTTTCAAATTGTCCAACGGCTACAATCAAACATGTTCTTTGTTTATCATCAACAACAAAATTAACTTCACATACTTATTTCACGTAGATAAACGCGATTACTAATCGCTGTGCCAAAATAATTACTTGCTTTACAAAAATAAGTTCCACTATCTTCATTCGTCGGATTATTAATCTACACGATAAAACAAGTTCATCGACTTGCTAAATTCACGATAGTTTGAAATCGTATTACCAATATATTTCCACCATGTTGGAAATAACGCGGATCGTTTAAATTGATGAGAACAGCCTCAGAAATCACACCTGTCGTCATACGAAACCAACTAAAAACGAATTTTTTTTCTTCGACTTTCACTCATTCAGTTGTTTACATACTAATAATCAGCCACTGGATATGCATCAGCCCGACATGTCAGTGTAACTACAATCGATATGGATAATTTACTGATACCAAATGTACTACCACTGCCCAATGTTATTTGATCGATTCGTCCGAACTCTTGATCCTGTGGTTGTTCAAAAAATTTCGGTGCGCGAGGAACGAACTGCTGTTCAATATTCGACGGTAAACCATATTCTAAAAGAATTTCAATCAAACACATCCATATACATTCATTCAAATTCTTACCAATGCTACGATAATTATCCATGATACTATATGTATCTCGAATTGGCACTTCACAAATGTATGGTACAACATCTGCCAATGTTAGATCATATGGTAACCAACCCCATTGACTACCTGAAAGAGCACAGCAAAGATGTTGTCAACAGTTCATACCATCATACTTTGATAAGCGTAGACGATAAATAGTCGTAATTGTATTTCCGCTTGAGTGTTTGGTAACCAGCCCTGATCAAATTGAAGATTTGATATACCGGTTCTTTTCACCCACTGCCAAAACGGTCCGTTTCGTCTGCCACTTGTCAACCAGAGTTGTGAAGAAGGATCATTTGCATTTAACCAATCTTGGATGAATAAATGTTCGGGAAAGGATTCAACACTCAAGAGATCAGTCTAAATGCATAAGAAATAAGAATTCGTAATACGCTCTACCCTAGTTGTTATTAATAACCAACCGGACAGCGAGCAACAGCATCGTTATAGGTTTCTTTTGGGAAACGAATAAATCTGTAGCATGAAGCAGTGCCACTAAATTCTTGCCAGCCATGCGGACATTCTTTTTTATGTGAAAAAAAAATCACGATTATTATAATCAATCATAGCATGCACAGAGCAATGAACACGTTACTAAGCATATTTAGTCGCACTTACCTAGTATTTGTGATGAGACAAGAGATAGAGTGGAGAAAGTTAATAGAGTAGTGAGATGAAAAATCATCTAAAAATGTTGTCAACAAGTGAATCAAAGTCGAAAACGTAATCATTTTTTCAGGGCACTCTTTCTTCAATATGTTAATGGCCTTGCTCGCTCGTTCGTTCGTTCGTTCGTTTGTTCTGTTTCAAAGAACAATTTCAACACGGTGTTAAAGGTATAGGTTGGATGGATCATATACAATTTTTTGATAAAACGGTACCCAATAGAGGGCGTCTACATCAATCTATTCTTGGTTATATTGCCCATAAGAACATTGTATTTGACATCAACGTATCATAAAACAGATTTTTGCAATGATTTCGACTCTTTTTGCAAGTCTTTATTGTCCTACAGTACTCAAATCAGAATACTCGACCGTATCATTATTTACAGATTCAATTGGACTTTTCTTTTCGTTTTTCATGTATGAAGAAAGCTGAAAGGAGATTGCTCGATCGAACCGGAAATATATGTCATTTTCACACATTCATATGAAAACATTCGATGTTAATCAACATACGAAAGGATGAGAACAGAATTGTTTTGTATATTTTAATTTTTCCGGTATTCATTGATGTTCGTGTACGAGTTCCGGTCGATGTAAAATCGTCCTAGTGCAACATTTCACTTAACATCAACTTCATGTCCATTCGTGCCACACCATCTCGGTAGTTTGTATAATTTCTTATTGCATAGACGAAGAGCTTTATGTTACATGTGTTGACATGTTCTTTTGTCTATATAAGTCAAAATAGATCGAAGAATTATCAATGTTTTTTCGTCTGGTGTCTACTGTCTGTTAATAAGAGAAAAGAAAACAACGTGATTTCAGCTGAATACATGACTAGCACAACAGTCATGTGCACATCGTTATGCTGTCAGACAAAAATGACAAATGTATTCTCTAATATCAATAATTGACTATTCATTATCAGAGATTAGTAACGATTATTGTCTTGATCCTTGTCGTATTCCTAAACATTGTTCAATCATGTTCTCTTCTATGTAGATAAATGAATTAAAGATCATTGTTGTTTTTTCTACTATTGACTTTCACTTATGTATGCGTACGCTTTATGCAAGTCGAAAGTGAAGATATTTACTAATCTTCGACAGTTCGTTTTTCTTTTGTCTACAATGAGATAGAGAAACTATTTGACTTAATTGATATTCATATCCATAGGAGAGTGTAAGGCGATAGTAAAAGAGCATACAAACAGTGATGTTTCGAATGCGACGTCTCCGTCAACATCTCTCTCTGTCTTTCTCGAGTAGATGACAAATTAATTGGTGATATACATGTACGAACTAATGATTTGTTGGTTAATTAGGCGTGGCCTTGTTGATCAAATGGATTAGAGAAAGAGAGAGGAGGAAGTAGAGAACGGTAGACGACGTCAACTGACCGATGTGATAAGAGAACAATATCCATTATCTTCTAATTCTTTTGATACGATTCTTGATTGATAGTCAGTGACATGGACTTCCTTCTTATATCTATTTTCTTTTTGTTCAATATCTAGATGTTACATTTACTTCAGCAACAGCAACAGCAGCAGCAGGAATTAATGTCACATCATTTATTACTCGATCCGGTTCCACCAATTCCACCTCGCACTCACTCACGTCCATCATCAAGACAAAATACCCAGTCTATTTTAGTAACTACTAATCATCAAACTAATAATAAAAATAACAGTAGCGTTTTTCGACTTGATGATCTACCAGCACCCGATCGCGAATGGCAATTACTCGAGAATATTGGTGATGGTACCTATGGTGAAGTATTTCGTGTAAGTTATCTCGACTTATCTTTTGAATTTCGGCAGAGAAAGCTATTATGCATCCCATTTAGGCGAAGAATGTACGTAATCCAGATTTTAATGCTGCTGTCAAAATTATGCATCCAACGAATGAAGTTCTCGAAGAAATTGAACAAGAACATCGTGTTCTTCTCGAACTGTCAAATCATGAAAATCTTTGTCGTTTTTATGGAGCATATCTGAAACGTGCACCACATCCTCCTTTACCTCCACCGCGAAATCCCATTATACCACCATCTATTCCAGGCGATATAACTAGTCTGCTATCGATTGAAACCAATTCTATTGCTAGTCTTGTGAGTCCTCAATCAGCATGTCAAGCATTGCCGCTCGATCAACTCTGGTTAGTTATGGAGTTATGTACGGGAGGTAGTGTCACTGATTTAGCTAAAGCAACACTGAAAGCAAATCAACGTTTGGATGAATCAATTATTGCTTACATCATACGTGAAACATTAAAAGCTTTGTATCATCTACACTCGAATAATGTTGTTCATCGTGATGTCAAAGGTCATAATATCTTAATAACTGGCGATGGACATATCAAATTGATAGATTTTGGTGTCAGTGCATATTTGAACCCAAACAATGGCCGACGAAATACTTCTGTCGGCACGCCATTTTTCATGGCCCCTGAAGTGATCGCCTGTGAAAGACAAATGGACTATGATTACGATACACGTGCTGATGTTTGGTCAACTGGAATTACAGCAATCGAAATCGCCGAGGGTATGACTTTCTTTGCTAACAGAATCGATTATCAACATCTGTATGATACTTCTAGGTGAACCTCCATTAGCTGATATGCATCCAATGCGCGCATTGGTATCGATTCCTCGGAATCCACCTCCAACTTTACGTCAACCACAGGACTGGTCGAAAGATTTCAATGATTTCATTCGTCAGTGTTTGATTAAAGACTTCGAGACAAGACCTACAGTTGCTCAAATGTTAAGTCATTCATTTATAACACATATACCTGCCGATGGAAACGAAGCTCGTCGACGCATTGTACAAATCGTTCATCGATACAAACATTGCTATGATTTATCCGGAAAGAAATCTCGTGAGACTTGTGGAGTGAAGAATGGTCGTATTCGAGGCAAATCTGAAACATGCTCATCAACGGCGATCGATGTGACAAAAGTACCTCACTCATCAGCCGCCGAACAATTAGTTCCACCACCAAAACGATTCATACAAGTCATTGGAAAACCGTACAATCCACCACATCAAATTGCAGATAATCAAAAACGTCCAGCACCACCTCCTCCACCTTTACCAGTTGCACCACCTCAGCAATCATCGGCAGTGACAAATGGACATTATCAAAATCATTGCTTTAGTGATGCAAATAATCTAGTTCAACAGCAGACAAACGTTTATAAAACAAAACGAAAATCTCAACTAAAACAAGAACAACAATTGTCCATAAATGCAGTAAAGCTTTTCAATATCATTCTCAGATAACCGAAAAGTCATTTTCTCTCTTTAGCAAAATCCAAATTCTCCAAATCTACCGAACAAATCGATTCCACCAATAAATGATAACATTCCTGTTTGCCATCCTTCTCCATCGAAAAAACTCGACAATACCAATTTCTACAATTCGACCTACGACTCAACATATCCTGCAAATTCATTCGACAAATCCAACAACCTCCCATCGACACATCGAGCTGCGGCCTTCTCAACCGATGATCTTGCACAGTTGGAAACATTTGATGAACAATCCATTATCACCTACATGTACGATCGCTTCTTAGCTAATCAAATCTATACGTATATCGGTGATATTCTTGTCGTAAGTAATCATTTTTCCTCCATAGCTCATCTTTCAAACTCTTCGTTCACGTAGGCTGTCAATCCGTTTCGTTCATTACCATTTTACGGTAAAGATGCCATGCTTCGTTATCGTTCCAGTGTGAAAAGTGAACAACCACCCCATATCTACGCGTTAGCTGATTTTACCTATCAAGCAATGCTACACGATTTAGAAAACCAATATATCGTTATATCAGGCGAAAGTGGATCGGGTAAAACCCAATCGGCAAATTTCCTCGTCAAACAACTAACTTTTCTTGGTAATGCACCAAACAAAAGTCTACAGGAAAAAATCCTTCAAATTAATCCTTTGATCGAGGGTTTTGGTAATGCTCGAACAATCATCAACGACAACTCCTCACGATTTGGTAAATATTTGGAAATGTTATTTACCAAGCAAGGACGTGTAACAGGCGCACGTTTATGCGAATATCTGTTAGAGAAAACTCGTGTGGTCAATCAAGGGCATTCGGAGAGGAATTTTCATATCTTTTATTATTTATTTCATGGTTTAGCATCCTCAATTCCCAACGATGAAAAAGCGTTTTATCTTTCAACGAATCAAACGTACCAATACTTAACAACAGGTTTACAAGACAATCAAGATTTATCGGACAGTTTCAAATCAAAATTCGCAACAATTGAAAAATGCTTTGAAATCATTGGTTTTCAACCGGATGAAGTCAAATCGATCTATCGAATTCTAGCTGGTCTACTACATTTAGGTAACATAAATTTCCATCAAAATGAAGGACACTTCATCGACGGAAAGACATGTTTATCCGATCGATATTTACTCGAGATTGTTTGTGAACTATTCGGAATTGACAAAACTGAGTTCGACATTGCATTAACCACGTGTAATATTGTTACACGAGGTGAAACAATCCAACGTTCAACAACCTTACAAGAATCCCAATCAACTCGCGATGCAATGGCAAAAGCTCGTCAGTATCTCTTCAATTAAATTTTCTTCTCAACCTTTCCTTCTTTCCTAGTTTACAACCGTCTATTTTCCTGGATTGTTAATCGAATATCTGCCTTACTTGCTCCAACTGCTGATACTACTAATCCTTCATTTGATGACGATTCGAGCATTCACTCAAATCACAATTACAATTCGAACAACAATAACAATCAAGAAGAAGAACATGAAGAGCACGAAGAAGAAGAAGAAGAAACTCAGCATTCCAGTCCTCTTCTCATTACGTCGTATCCCCCACCAACGATAATGTTTGCTATGAAGCGCACGTTTGATTACCTTGATACCACTGGTTCATCGGCCTATTTACTTCAAACGATGAACCATGATGATGATGATGATGACGAAGATCTTTTGAATATGAATAATAACAACAATAACAGTACAAGTAGTACGCCGATGCCATCGAATAATTCTCATACAACGAACTTAATCAATGATTTAAATCATAAGACGAAAAATACTTCGTCAGCGAATGAGAAACCTATTCGAAATTTGATTGAAAACTGGACTAAAGTTGTTGCTGCATCCTCATCAACCAATTGCGTGAAAGTTGTCGAACAAAAGTCCAACAAAATCATCCAATCTCACCATTCACGATTCAATTTCTCTAGTCGCGCGACAAGCGAGACAAATTTAGCATTAAGAAAGAAAACTGTTGAGAACAATGTGAAGAAACACTATCAATCATCGAATAATCTCTCGATTAATTCAAAGCAATCCTCCTCTCCACTATTATTACCTGTTTTACCATCAATTAAACAAGAATCTTTGCCATTAGAGACATTGAGCTCGTCAATGCACTCGATAAATCCAAATTTCAACAGACAACACCAGCAAAACAACGATGCTGATGCATTGAAGATTGCAATTTTAGATATATTCGGTTTTGAAAACTTCTCAACGAATACATTCGAACAATTGTGCATTAACATCGCCAATGAACAAATTCAATATTATTTCAATCAACATGTCTTCGCATGCGAAAGACAGGAATACATCAATGAAAATCTCAGTGTTCTACCATTACCAGCTAAGATGGATTTCACCTTTTATGACAATCGACCATTGTTAGACATGTTTCTAAACAAACCCGTAAGTAAAATTCTCGATCAATTCGTATATTTAGTATTCATTTAGGTCGGAATTTTGGCATTGATCGACGAAGAGAGTCGTTTTCCAAAGGCGACTGATTATACATTGGTTGACAAACTAAATGCAAATTTTTCCAATTCACCGTTATACATTCGTTCAAAATCGAATTTTTCCTCCAGTTCACAATATTCTCTCTCATCCTCATCATCAACTCTGCAATCAATTCCATTATTTTCAATCATACATTTCGCTGGTCAAGTTCAATACGACGCTCGTGGTTTTCTCGAAAAAAATCGTGATTATCTAGCACCAGAAATCATTCAAGTTCTTCGCGCATCTCACGTTCAATTAGTCAGTTCATTATTTCAATATTCCTTAACCAAAACTGGTACATTACCAGATAATGACAATCCACGATACACTTCATCATTGAATGAAAACAATCTAACGAATAATTTCGATATCAACAATACATTGATGCCTTTGAATGCCAGCCATAATCGTGTGCAAGCAACAGTTAGTACATATTTTCGTTATTCGTTAACCGATCTCTTTTCCAAAATGGTACACGGTTCGCCGAGATTTGTTCGTTGTTTTAAGCCGAACAATGAGCGTATGCCAGGCTGTTTCAATACTCAAACTGTTCTTGAGCAACTGAAATACAGTGGAATTCTAGCTGGTAGGAAAATATTTGAAAACTATTTCGTAAGATTTTTTTGCGTTGCTTTTTAGCGGCGAAAATTCGTCGATATGGATTTTCACATCGAATACCATTCGCAAACTTTATTCAACGCTATGCAATTCTTGCGTATCCAACGACGATGGATTTACCTTTAACACGAGAAACATGTGAAAATATTTTACATAAACTAAAAATGCAAAATTGGACGACGGGTATGTGTTCGATCCTTTCGAAAACGAAAAATCGAGTGTTTGCGATCTTTTTAAGGTAAAAGTAAAGTGTTTTTGAAATATTATCATGCCGAACAATTATCTCGACTATATACGGATATGATACGTGCTGTTGTTACTATTCAATCTTATGTTCGAATGCATTTGATTCGTTCGCGTCTAAAACAACGACAATATAAACACTCGAATGATATGATCATTCAAGAACTTCATCGACATCCAAAATTTTCACGAGTTTGTTTCTTGTGTCGATTAATTCTTCATGAATTCTCTTGGAATTTCTTTAGTCGACTGTCGATGATGAACAATTAAAGAGAGACAAAGCAATTGTTTTCATTCAATCATGTGTTCGCGGTTATATACAACGAAATCGTTTCAAACGAATGAATAGAAACAAGTTTAAACCGACGAATGCATACGAATCAGCAGCGATTGCTATTCAAAAATATTATCGTGGTTTTATTGTACGAAAAGCTTATTCTCTATATCGACAACGACTTCAAACTCAAATTCTTTGCTTCTTACAACAAGTCGAATTGACAAGCAATGATTTCTTCACGCGAATTGTCAAAACAAACTACTGTGTACCAACAAAATCCATGGAATCTTCGCTAATCAATCAATGTAATTATAATAAGTATATGCAAAAGTTTCCTCAATATTTGTTTCCTCCACCTCCTCTGTTACCACTACCATCATCATCATTTTTAATGCTCTCGCCGCCATTGCCGCCGCCGGATGCACCAACTTCCATTAAACCATCCGTTGTTTCATCAGTGATTCCATTACCTCCTCCGCCGCCTGCTCTATTTCTTGTTTCTCGGTCATCTCCACGACCACGACAGCAAATAACCGTGCCACATCGTTCACCTTCACCACTGTCATCATCATCGGTATCGAAGTTCGCACAAGTCAGAGATATTTTTGCACGCGCTGAAGCTGCTGCAGCTACTCATTCACATCATTACAACCATCATCATCACTTTATTCCAAGCAAACATTCCATTCAAAATCAACCTATTGTCCCTCCGCCTCCTTCTGTCAACTCAGTATCACCATTGATTGCACAAACACGTAGTCCTCGATCAACAACCGTCTTGGATGCTGTACAAGAGTACCAAAAACAACACATCAACAATCATCAACCAACTTACAGACGCTTTGGCCATTCAAGTGCTTATAATAATAATCGTCCGATTCATTTCAATGGAAATAATCACTTGAAACCCCGAGGTATTGCTTCATTTATTACTAACAATCAAAGACCCTTATTACAAAAAAAACAAACTCCACCGACACTTTTCCCTAATTATATGTCATCGTCACCTAAGCCACCAGCATTGTCATCACAACAGCCAGCCAAGCCAATCACACGGGTGAGTCCAGTAGCATTGCTATTTCTTAGTCTAAGGACATATTTTGCTGACATAACAGGAACTAATTCGACTTCAGCTGAGACTCAATATTGATCCCTAAAGAAACGTTTTCTAAAATCAATAGAAAACATTATTATTTCCGATTTCGTTCGGATTCTCAATTTTTTTCATTTCCTTGCAAAAGAAAACAAACTCGCGTGTTTCGATACCGATACGAGATATATAATCTTCGAGAATCCAATAAAACCTTCGACAGAATCTCTCAGACATTTATCGAAATTCAATGGATCGTGATTGTAAATACTCTATTATCTGATTTGATGTCGAAGAGGATTATAAAAAAAAAAGTAGATGATTATATTGGTGAACGCAAATTGATCTAGAAAATATGAAACTTTTCTCTCTCTCGTCTAGGAATCGTCCATGTCCACTCAACCAAAATACGCATTTCATGTCTTACTACGCAAAACTGGACAAGATTTATGCACCGGTCAGACATTATCGAAACGTCGAGTGATCAATGAAACGAAACAAATTGATTTTCGTAGTGTTCTCAAACCACGACATGCATTTACTGATGGAAGTGATAATGATTCAATCATCAAATCGAACAGTGCATTTCATCAACAACAACCCACTTGCAATGACAATCGAATGAGAATTCATGATTTCTGAATCCCACTCGAACTTGCATGAAAAAACTAAGTAGAAGATTATTATTCTACTTTGTCTTAACGAGTCTCACTCGTGAATAATTAATCATTTTAATTTTCAACGGAAGTCGAGAACAAACAGCAATGTCTCACGTTCGTCAGAATATCCAATAGGAAGGCAGACTGATCCAATTACATTGTACTTTTCGACTTCTCGTTATTTTTATTTGTTTGTTTTCTCTCAAAGGGCACCTTATTTAAATCAATCAGAATCTTTTCCCTTTGCTTCATTCTTCGTGCGCATTGTTTTCTTTTGTAATTATATTCATTACTTTATGACAAATATAGAAAATACAATTTACTAAGAAAAAAAAAAAACAAGTTTTTTGCTTCGCAAAATTCAACACAGCTAACTCAAGGCCAATAGAAACTAATCTGTTGAAGAACTTTGATAGTTTCATCAATGCAGATAGACAATCTTTTTTGCTTTCACACGACGAAATTAGCTCTAAATCTGGATAATTCCTAAAACCTGCCCACATGCGTTCACATCTGGGTAATTATTAACTGCGAAACCCGTCTATCCATTTATCTCGATCAACAAATTGACTAGGAATTACTGTCAAACGACTTCGTCGAAGACAAACGATAGCATTGGCCTTACTTGAGTTAATGTACAGAAAACAATAAACTGTTTGTATGTGTGATTAGGAACGTGCACACATAATGCAATACGATTCATCATATTTCTCGCGAGAAGAACAAGACATCTCTCCTACATTTTTTTCCTTTCTCGAGCTTTTCTCCTAAGTGAAGAGACGAGAAAAGGAAGATATATTGCCAACTTGCACAAGTAAAACAAGTCGAGCGAAAGACGGAGAAGAATTCTTGTTATTGTTCAAGTCAAATGTCTGACATTCATCTGTTCATCGCGATGAAGTATTTTTTATTAACTTTCAACAATCGATCAATTGGATTTATCGTTATTCTATCAGTGACATTATTTGGTACGTAGGACGTTATTACTCAGCACTTTCATCATCATGAAAAATCCAGAAACATTCTTTTTCACATTAAAATTTCATACAATGCTCTTAGAACTGTTAATTTCACACCTGACCCGCTGTCTGACAGCAACTTTCTCAATACCAATCTCGTGAATAAAATTAAATAAGTTTTTTTTTCCGAGTAGGTTCGATGCATTGTCAAGATTTTCGATCACCATATGGCACATTAGTTGATTGTAGTAATCGAACGCGAATCAATTGTTCAGATGAACAACGCCTGCTCTACTTTCTAATGAGGTAAGCTTTGCACCTCGTTACTGATTATTATACTTCGGATTGTTCGATCGTTAGAAATTATTCCAATAGTGTTCGACCAGTCCACAATGCTAGTGTACCGGTACCAGTGAAACTTGGCTTAACATTAACGCAAATATTTGATATGGTAAATATTGAGTTGAAAGAGTCTTGCAAACGTTTTTGTATTTGTATTTTTAGATGGAGAAGAATCAAATATTGATAACAAATGTATGGCTTGACCAAGAATGGTAAGAGTTAGTTGAAGGGTATCGTCTGTAGAAAATATTTTCGCCTAGGCATGATGAATTTCTTCAATGGAATCCTGATGATTTCAATGGAATTCGTCGTCTCAATCTCCCATCGAAACTCATCTGGTTACCAGATATCGTTCTCTACAATGTAAAAGAAAGATAAAAGATAAACACAAATTTCATTCTTCCATATCTTTCAGAATGCCGATGAATTTTCTAATAGTAACATAATGCAAACGATGGCAATGATTAATCATGATGGAAGCGTCTTTTGGCCGATCCCAACTCGATTGAAAAGTACATGTCAAATCGATGTTACGTATTTCCCATATGATGAACAAGAATGCAAACTTAAATTCGGAAGTTGGACGTACAATGGTTTTCAGGTGTCGATTGCCGAACGTGACAATGCAATTGAATTGTCAAATTATGTTCCGAACGGTGAATGGGATCTATTAGATACATCCTATCAAGTTAATATTGTACGATATCCATGTTGTCCTGAACCATTTCCAGATATTACGTTTTACGTTCGAATACGCCGACGAATTTTGTATTATTTATATTCAGTTGTTTTTCCGTGTGTAATGTTATCGATCTTGACTCTATTGGTGTTTTGTTTACCTCCAGAATCTGGTGAAAAGATTGCCTTGGGAATCACTGTGTTACTTGCATTTAGTGTTTTTATGTTAGCTATCGCTGAAAGTATGCCTGAAACGAGTGAATATATTCCACTAATTGGTAAAGTCAAACTTTCATTTCCTCTTGAATTCGATCGAGTTTTGTATGTTTATTCAAGGTTTATATCTAACGACAGTTATGTCAATGACAAGTGTCTCAGTCATGATGACTGTACTTGTTCTTAATTTGCATTATCGTGGTCCAAAAAAGAATGAAATACCATTTTGGTTACAACAATTATTGGGTTTATCTTTGGTGAATATTTGTCGAACGGTGACGAAATCCAAACGATTTAAATTGCCATGTCCTGAAAAACAATCTGTCGAACGGAAGAAAAGTATCAATGACATAGATAAAAGTCCTCGATCACATAGCCGTATGACTCCTAATGGACTCAAAATAACTTGTACTCGCGAAACAAAGCCAATACCAAGAATTACCACAGCAGCAACTGATGTAAGTTCAATGAAATTCTCTTTAACCTCGAAATATATACGGGAAAGTTTGCTCAGCAAATACTCGAGTGATTAAGTAAGAAATGATAGTTATAGGGAAACATCTTCGAATAGTTAACCAGTCATCAGAGAGAGAAGAAGAAGAAGGAGAAAGTTTGTCTTTCAATAGATAAACAATGTATGTAATTATATCTTCTGTCCATAAAAAGAAGACATGTGTTGACTCGAGTTTCCATCAAAGACCGAGGCAATACAAGATTCAATCAAATCGAGTTCCCACTATTCATGCCTAAAACATGACAAATATTAATTGCTTTCTAACAAAAAGAATTATTAAATTCGTTTCTATACACATGAATAAACAAGCGTTTCTTTCAAGTTGTCGAAGAGTTTTAGTAAACATACTCCTTTCTGCCTACTAAACTTTGCAATTAGAATGACAATAGAGCATGCATTTGATGAGAAATGTAGCGACAAACATCTTTTTTTTAAAGATCAATTCAATTCAAATCGATCTGTTAACTTCTCAGGAACATGAAACAAAGCAAAAACCTAAACGTCTATCTCGGTTTCAACAAGCTGAAAACTCCATCAGGCGTCGTTCAGCATCTCGTTCAACCTCCGCTGGACCGATTCAAGATGAAATTCAAGAAACCCTACACAGTCTTTTACGTACACAAAAAGAATTCGAGCGTGATCAACGAATCACCAGCGATTGGCGCGTCATCGCAACAAAAGTCGATAAGATTCTCTTTTATATTTTTCTTCTGTTAACAGTCGTATCAACACTAACGTTACTTGTTGTTGCCCCATTCATTCGGTCACGTACACAATTGAAAACAAAACTATGGCGAGGAACTCGTCGACCGCAATCAGACTGACTTTCCTCCCAAATTTTGTTCACATCGAATTTTCTGTTCTTTCTAACTGATTACTAAATCTAGTCAAACCAGAACGGATTGATTCAAAAAAAGAAAGAAATATAACTATGCCGGCATTTGATTGGAATTATTCTTCTTCTCTGCTAAATAATTCATATCTCTTTTATCGCACCGAATGCGTCTATACTTGGTTCGAAGATCATAAACATCGAATGGACCTACTTGTTACTATTGAAAGTCATCGAACAGGAAATTTTGTCAATTTGCTTTCTTCTATTTTTACTCAACATAACAAAACAATTACAGAAAAAATTTTGTTCTTTCTGTATCCATTTTATGTTTGGACTTGTGGATCCATTCGTATTCACCATAGACTGCATCGAATGTTCCACGTTGGATAGACTTGAGTTTGAGGGTGAATCGTGGACCTAGTTCTTGTAATGCTACTTTCTTCTCGTTTTTGAATAAATACATATGATGACGGAAGAAGATGAAGTCGCGTTGATTGTGAAAGGTAATCAAATGACGACCTTTGTATTGTGGATCGTGAGGAAATAATGCAGCGAGAAGACGGCCAACACGAATACCGATACGAGTGTTGAAGTTGTTGAGGATAATTTCAGGTCGTACAGTTAATTTTGCACAGGATTTACCACGATTGGACCGAAGTTGCTTAGATAGACGAGCACTCGTTAAGCGAAATTTCATTGTTGGACCTTCGGGTAAATGAGATACGTAGAGAGTACACGGTTTACCATGATCTTCATTAACAACTAGCAAATCTGTATAACTAAAAGGTGAAAAAAACATTATATAGGGTTTTTTTATGAAGTTAAATGAGATTTCGTACTCGAGTTTATTCATTTTCTTAATAATGCGTTTGATTGGATGATGTCGTCGTTGAAAGTATGTTGTATTAGGTAAAATTCTTGCTAATTCTTTCAGAAATTTATTTGTAAACGATGTTGGAAAACCTTCTTGACTGGTTAATAACAATTTCGGCTCGCGTCCATCAGCTTGCCGAGTGAAATAGCTACTTAATTCATCATTGGATATATCATCTAATGTTTCTTGATCGTTTTCATCGACCCATGTTTCGTCACGTTTACGTTTCTTTTCAATTGTTTTCGGTTCTTCTCTTGGAGCATCGGATTGCTGTCGTGCTTTACGTTCTTTCAATTTTGTCTTCGATTTCGTACGTTTTAATTTGGCGTACATTAGCTGACGAACCATTTTATTACGAATTTGTAAACTTCCAGAGGGAACTGTTGATGAAGTTTCTTCATCTTCTGTTTTTTTTGTTTGTTTTCGACGAACTGGTCGTTCATCTTCGTCAGATGAATCCGAATTTTTCTTACGGCGAACCATGATCTAAAAGAAATATCGAGATCGTGTAATCGAAATAACTCAACGAGCAGATTGAATACAAATCCAATGTTCTGTCTAATATGTAAAATGAAATTACTTCGACTGGTAAAATATATGAACTCGAATGTGAACCAATACTTATTTACGACAGATGGCGTTAATAAACGAATTTCACTACGGGATAGACCGATCTCGATTTTTACCGTTCGTATGTGAATTTAGAGGATATTGTATCGCGAATGTCCTTTTTATGATAATCGAACTTGATTGAGTTTCTCGTACAATTCAGAAATACATTCAGCATCGTGTATATATATATTGAGTAAGAAATCTGCTAAAATCAATAAAAACGATATGTGATGTACCTTTATATTGGTCTCGTACAATCTTGTTAAAAAATGCTGACGACTTATGTAATCGACATAAGGCCTGTGTTATACCTCGTTTTCATATTCACAATAGAACATGACCAATAAAGATTCAATCAATCTTCTTCATACTTTTCCATTGACGTCATCCGCAAGCGCCTTTTCTTAGCATAGTCTAAGCCATAAAGTATGCCGCTCACACGAATATGACTGATCTATCTTATATACACTTATATGCTTACTCAATGTAAAGAAATGGCATCATTTCATATTTATGGATTTCATAAAGTCATACTGTCAAAGTTTTAACACGATTCAAACACTTCTTAGTTCTACTACATTAATCCAAGTTTTCATCATCGGCTGAAACAAACGCCAAGTGTATTTCTAACGATTGCCAGTAATACTGCTACAATATTAACAATGGAAAATGATGCTAATGATCGAGGTAAAAGCTATTCAGATGCCATATCCGTTGCATCTGTGTATCCTTCATTAACATCAGCATCAGCAGGTGTTTCACAACCGGCTCCAAACTCTAGTACAACTGTGTCACCAATTTCATCACCAAAAGAACAAAAAACAACATCTGACGAAACGCCAGATATCTATGCTACCGGATTGGAGGACGGGACATACGGAGTTGTTAATTATATGATCTGGTCTCAAATTAATATCCTCTTCGGTGTGCTTATTTTGGGTATCATTGCTATATTAATGTCGAAATATACAACAAAACTTGCAAAAGATGGTAAATTCAAAAAAGCCAAGATCTTGTCAAAAATCACCCTCGGTTTCAATATATTCGTTACTATTCTATTCACTGGCGTGTTAGTATTTCTACTGGCCTATTTTACTGAGATCAGATAATTCCGTACGCAATCATTATCATTTTGCTCGAAACCAATGTTAAACATTGATGTTGTATAAATGTTGCTATTGTATTGTCAACATAGTTTCGAAAAAGATAACCCGAACTCACTTCTTCGTTTTGATTCATAGAGCATTAATCTGCAATGCACGTGGAAATTTGACATCGTTAGTCATCTCTGATAAAATATGCACAGACTTTGTTATTTCACAAGAGATGACGAAAGTCGGATCTACATGTTTGATATTGCTGTTGCACAGCCAATGACAACTCGTAGGTACTTCAAGTCTGATAAGAGATCGGCGATGAAATAAAAATAAAAAGTACATGATGTTTATAGTTATTTGAGATAACGGCGCATAAATAGATATATCAGTGTCAGTTTAGTTATATTCAGTGTTTTGGTGTGTGGAAATGACAAGCCCTCTGCGATCGAAAACCCTAAAGAAAAAAGCGATTCGACGAGTATCGAAGAGTCCTCAGCGTAAATATTCTTCTCCAGAACGTGTTCGAACATTAATCGAAGTAGATTTTCAAGAATCTGCTTATTCCGATCCAGCGGATTCTTCCCGATCGTCGCGTAAGTTTTCGTCTTCATCGAAGCTCTTTCGATCGATATGAGTTTCAGTGCCAAATGTACTATTCGAACGACGTGATCAAGATACTTTGTCCGAACAAGCGACTAAATTATTCAATTCTACGATTGTGTTCGATGAAGCTGAACGTGCATGGTTGCTTGAGAATATGCGTAGTACAACAATTTCAATCAAAGTTGATCATTTTCTATTTTCTATCAATAGCAATTACGCACTAAAGTTTGTTAATGATTAATCTATTTAATACGATGTTTGCTCATGAATTTCATTAGAGAAAATCAACAAACTGTTCTGTTTCTCCATGGCTTCGGTGCGGGTCGAAATTGGGCAAAGTAAGATGCGCCTTGTCTTTCAATATATTTGATATATTGCTATGATAACAGTTGGTTGAAGTTAGCTTATCCACTGAGTCAACGAGGTCGATATTCAACGATTTTCGTTGATTTACCCGGCTTTGGTCAATCAAGTGGCCGAAGTTTAGATCAAGCAAGTTGGAAACGTTACGGTCCGGAAATCCTCGTCGCTATTGTCTCGAGTTTTCATCTGCACCATTCGGTTTATGTTGTTGCTCAATGCGGCAAGTATAAAAAGTTGCTCTTCTACATATCATCGAATAGTTCTTTGTACACAGGTGGAGCAGCAACAACTGTACGTACAATTAATCGATATCCTCAATGGTTTCGCAATCGTAATCTTATCTTTTGTAATTCGGTCATTGGTGATTTCGGCGAAGAGAAAGTTGGGGTAAGTTAGACCGACTCCGAACAGAGAGTGCAAACTCTAAATCCATGTAAATGATTCCTTGCATTCATCTAGGACTTCGAGATAACTCTGACGCGGTTCAATATACATATCGTGGTTTTCTGGACTCCGGATGAGGATCATACCAAATACTGCGTAGTAGGAGTTTTCATTGCTGATGAAATTTCGTTTTATTTCATAATTTAAGGCATACAAACGTTGGAGTCGATTACGAGCATCGAATTTTCGTAATTTACAATTGATTGACCTCGATCCGAAAACTCAAACAATGAAACTTCACTATCCTTTGGTATCAGTTGCTCAAATGAGCCGTTGTTCACTGAAAAACAAAGGTCTCGTCTATAAACTCAGTGATCAATATATTCAGCAAGTTATTGATATCCTCGATCGAAAATAACATGATTGTCTTCTGAATCATATCAAAATTTGCTTTCTGTTAAATGAAATAAAGTTTCCGCATTAAACTATAAACTTTCTAGCAACACTGCCTATACGCTGAATTAAAAGTAAAGCAAAATACGCTTTAAAAACAAGACAAATTGCAGCACCCTTTTAAAGGACATGATGACTCTGTAAAAATTTGCAATTGAGAAAAAAAGAGAAAAAGAAAGATGCATAACACGAGCGGAGAGTGACGAGTAAAATTCTTCGTTCTGTCATGTTATTGTCGTTACCATTGTCACCATGCCATTCTTGTGTGTGCGTGTGTGTCAACAAACGTCGATGAAATAATAAGAATAAACGTCGTTTTCCTGCAACTGATCTATTTATTCGAACGAAATCTTTTCCTTCATCAACATGGCAGAGAAAAGAGCCAAGAAATCGAAAGATAGAAAAGTCCCTAAGCACGACGAAGAAGTGGAGGAAGCCATGCATGATGTATTCCAACCGCTCACTGAAGCGATTCTGCAAGAGATCAAACCACCGATCCAACAGTTACAACAAAACACTAAAGCGTCCAAACTACCTCCTCGTTCACCAATGGAACGTAATGCATCCAAAATGAGAGCTCCAACGGAGAAATCGAAGGACTCATATCATGTTCAATCAGACCTATTGGAAATACAACAGATGGAAAACAATCCCAATGAACACTTCCGCTTATTTTCTCCTCCCGCTCCAACCAAAAAATCCCCTCGGTTGTTTTCAGACGATGCCGATGACATTTTTCTTGGCGAAAAAGAGAGGCAAAATCTCATTCCAACGCCTGTCTTACCACCTATACTGCGCACGTGCAATCTCAATGATATATTTCAAGATTCATCTCTATCACCATCCATCAAAGCATTCAAAGTAAGTAAATGAAGACTTTCAATCGTTTCCTATTTGTCCACATAGGACGCGTGTTCTGAATATGCGAGAGCATGTGGAAAAATTGAATGTTATGGAAATGTATTGTTAACAGATGTTCATCTGTATGAATTAAGTCAACTAGAATGGCCACTTTTGGACAAAATTCAAGTGCGAGCTTGTCCACATATTACGCCCTTTGGTTTAAGTTATCTGCGAAAGATCAATGAGAAACATGACCCTCAATCAGTCCAATTTGTAAGACTTTTGCATATGAAACTTTGTCATTTCTTGTCATCCGTTTCCAGAATGTCGATTTGTTAATTCATGATCGTCAGATGATCGAAGTCGACATGAATTCAACCACTGCAACGATTACAAAACTGGAAGATTTCTTCAAACAAGTAAAATTTGACATTCAATCTGAACTTTCTTGTATATCAATAAGAATAATTTAGAGTGTGAAAACATCTATCTCTAAAGTTTTGATCTATCATACAACGTCTCTACCAAACTCCACTCTCTCACCAGATAAAATGATCATCAATCAAATCCAAAAGGTCAAAGAAAATTCTCCGATGACAATCAGTTATTTATTGACAACATCCGGACAATGTCAAATCGCCTATCTCGAATGTGTTAACGTAAAATCGCCGCTTCTCATTTGTCCGAATCGAATTTCTTTCTTTTTTTCTTCGTCAAGTCTATTCTCTTCAAAGAATTAAGCACATCTTTTCATCCCCAAATAGTTTATCTCGTCGTTTCCAATACTGATGATCTACTAAAATGTCTCTTCTCAATTGATTGCGATCTATCGTTCTCAATTTTGGTAAGTAAACAAAGAGGAGAAACTAATGAATATCTTATCGTCCACACAGAATCACCAACTTCGATTAATTATTGACAATCATGAATCTGTCGATCATTTCCTATCGGATCTCCATTCGAAATTGAAATCTATCAGCAAATCGGCACATGAACTCTATACGCATCATGTGTACAATGATAATCCAAATGTGTAAGAGATCAAATCCAGGAAAATATCTCGTTTTTTATCGAATTTTTCAGATCGGAGAATGACGATTATCGACGAAATCATTTTCTTAGTAGTTTGTTGCACACACAAACCAAATGCGATTTGTTAACGAAGAAATTAACCAAAGATCGATGTTTCCTTTCTAAACAGAAGGTATTCATTGTCGAATCTGGATGTTCATGCTCCGAATTACCTGATTTTTCTTCGTAGGATTCGTCGTTTCTTCCGAATCATATGGCGAAAGATGCTGAGAAACACTGTGATACTTTATATACATTTAATTTCGAGAAGAAACCGAATGAAACGGTGGTGAAAACAAGCGAGTCGGTCAACACATTTATCAATCAGCTAACAAAAGAAGCAAAAGGAAAACAGGAAGAAGAAATATTACCTAGTTCAATGAAATTAGCAAAGATTTATTTTCAACATAAATTAATAACTGTAAGTAAAGAAAATCATTCGAAATCTGATCTGATGAATGTGTTTCTCAAGGATACTGTTCTTGATATTCATTCGACAAGTATTGGAGAATCGTATTACGTTTCGAATATTGAATGGTTTTGCCAAATGTTGAATAAGTTTCTCAATAATCAATCGCGTCCGCATCGAAAAACCGAACATGTCATTGATCAAATCAAATCAACAATTGGCTCAAATGTTCATTTATTAACAAAATACGATTTCAAAAATTTTCAAACCAATCGTGATGAAGTAAGAAGAAAACAAAACGTTTCTTTCATCATCTCTTTGCATTCAAGACCGATTTCTTTCAATGGCTATTCAACACTTGGAATATCGGTTTCTCGATCAACACGAACGATCAACAAATGTTTCTTTTATCCAATTCGATTGCATCGAAACCACCCATTCCTTTAGTAAGTTGAAAATCGATAGATGACGAGAGAGAGAGAGAGAGAGAGATTTACTATTTTATTGTAGAGTACAGTTTGGCCAGAGACATGGGGAGACAGTGATCGCGAATTTGTTATCCACTTTCGATTATTACATCCATGCGATGCAGCCATTTTATTTGAATTTTATAAATTGCTTCCCTCGCAGAAATTGTTGCTTGCTTCGAGAGATTTTCTGTTGATTCAAGAAGGTGCCGTGGAAATTTTAGTCCAATACCAACATGAAATCGATCGTGCAACAGGTAATCCATCTTGATAGTTTGAAGAAAGTGTTGTTTCAGTAAGATCTTCGAAATAGATATCAGGATTACTTTCCGTACACTTGATTTACTTCTGGACGATCGATCCGATCTTTCGAGCAATTTTGTTCAAGAATCATTTGAATATCTCATCAGAGAATACTATGTGATCATTTGGGCTTATCTATTCAAACTTGATTATGCTTTCAAAGTAAATCATATAAGTATTCTCAAACGATGTTTCTTTCTGTCTTTCAACCTAGGTCCAAACAGACGATGCTAAAGCACCCGATTCTCTTGAAGCCATTGTCGGTAAGTATAACAAATGATACTGAATCAATCAGATTTGGTTGATTATCATTTTAGGTAATGAAATCATGACTTCGAAATGGCATCATCTAGCTTTATATCATTACTCGCTTGCTCCAACATTGTCTACTGTTTGTTCGGTGTGTGGCCTTCGTCCTGCAACCAATAAATCGCTTTATGTAAAGTTTTTTTCTACGATATCTGATTTCTTTGAATGTTTTCGTTTCAGAGAGCATGTGCAACTTTATCGCCGGCACGTCACACAACGACACTGACAGAAAGTGAAACAGACCCATCGAGCTTTGTTGTACTTGATATAGAACGCAAACAACCTACTTTTCATGCTACAAAAGGAGATAGGCCCGATGCTGATTCACTTTCGACTACATTTTCCTATACTGGTAAACAGTGTTTGACACCGGATGGATGTAATTCATTTGAGGTGGTATTTGTAAGTACGGATGATGCTACGCCAGTATCGCCAGTAGCATTGTTCTCAGTGATGGAAATAGGATGTTTGGTGTAAGTTGTCAATTCGATTGATTTTCTCTTCCTGAAAGTATATTTCTAGAAATAACTCTCGAATAAAAGAAGATGAGAAAATAATCTTTGAGTATGGTCTTAATCTGAACACAACAGGCGAGAAATCCGAAAGAAATACACAAAAGCAAGAAGTATGGTCCTTTCAATCACTATATTCTTGTTAAGAAAAAGCATTTTTGTAAAATTTCAGCCAATGAATTTCCTTGATGAAATTCGTAATTTCGGCGGCGTAGGCGGTTTAAAACGATCAAATGCAAAAAAGAAAAAAACCGACACTGTCCAGGAATTCTACAATGGTTTACGATTACGTATAGACATTCTTCTCACTCATAAACCCGTAAGTCATGAATCATATACTTCCATGTAAGATATTCTCTTCCATTAGAATACATACGAAATGGTTTTGTCCATTAATGACATTCCATGGTCTCGGAAAACAATTCGACGTAAAACTGCTCAGACGATGCTTCAACCCTATCTTCAAACTCCAGGAATTTCTAACGCGAATCAAAATATAAGACTATTTATCCATCACTATACGACAGCTCTTGTTAGTTTGATTTCACATGAGATTATAATTGAAAAATCGAATGTATTAATCTTTTAGGATAAAGCATTTGTTGCAAATCCGTCTGACAATGATGGACATATTTTGGAAAGTAAAATCGAAACTCCCTGGAAAGTTGGTATGCGTCTCGAAGCTAAAGACCGGAAAAATCCATCTATATTAGCTGTTGCAAACATCAGTATGTATTTTCTCTTCTGTTTCGATTTTGTTATTCTTACGTCCGATTATCTTTCAGTCGAAGTGTATGAAGACAATCGCATACGAATTAATTTTGACGGATGGACCTCCACGTATGATTACACAGTTGAAACTGATAATCCCGATCTACATCCATGTGGTTATTGGGAATATATTCAACGAGTTTTATACAAAAATATCAATGTAACCAACGGACATTCGCATTTGACATTCAATCGTTTCGATAAACCAAAATGTAAATAGACAAGTAATCTATATGGATGTTTCATAGATTGATTTTATGTTTTAGCTTACAACGGCGCA